ATATTACCTAGTTGGGTAATACAACGTGTAAAAAAACCCACCAAGCCCAGAGGGCAGAACCCCTAGAGTGGTTTTTTTCTCCTCCTCCCTCCCCCCCCCCCCCTCCTCCTCCTCCTCTGCTCTTCAAACCCCCACTCCCTTCTAGCACTGATGATGTTACCTAGTTGGGTCATGAAACGTCTGCAAGAAACCACCAAGCTCAGAGAGCAGAAACCCTAGAGTAGTCATTGTCCTCCTCCTCCTCCTCCTCCTCCTCCTCCTCCGCCCCCCCCCCCCCCTCCTCGCACTCTCCCCCCCCTGCCCCAGTTGGGTCATGAAACGTCTGCAAGAAAGCGACCCAGCTCAGAGAGCACCAAGGACCCCACAGATTTCCTCCTCCTCTTCCTCTTCCTCTTCCTCCTCCTGACTGCCTTCCCATAAACCCCATTTCTTTGTAGCCCTGATGATGTTACCTAGTTGGGTTATGAAACATCTGCAAGAGAACAACCGAGCCCAGAGAGCACCAAGGACCCCAGCAACTCATGTTTTCTGCACCCTGTCCTTTCCTTGGCAGGTGGTCCTGGGTGGGGGCAGGAAATACATGACTCCCAAAGGCACCCCAGACCCTGAATACCCCACCAAAAACTCAACCAATGGGAACCGTAAAGATAACAGGAACCTAATTGAGGAATGGCTCCAAGCTTCGCCGGTAAGTCTCGTGTTTTTTTCCTCCCTGCCTATGCTCCAATTTGGTGCCCTCCGTTTGTGGGGGGGAACTACAAATCTCAAAAATATTTCTCTAGCAGAATGGGAGTTTCAGGCAGTCTGCGACTTACAACTGTGCAGTTAGTGACGGTTCCAAGTCACACCACTGCTGTGAAAATTAGGGACACCTTGTCAATTCATAAAATATTTCTCTGGTCTTTTTAGAGTTGCCAACAGAAAGGGGGGTGGGGAAGAATTGCAGCAGCTTGCAAAACCGAAACTGCATTCCATAAATGTTTTCAGAGATTGTAACTAGGTGACGGAAGTTTCTGCAAAATTCTAACTGGAGAGAGCATGATTGATGACTCTTGGCTATGGAAGTGTCCCATTGGAGAATATGAATTACGATACAGGGAAAAACCAGAGTCAAGGGTGACCATGAATTATGTGTTTCAGAGTCAGCTACACCCAGGCAGTGCCGGCATGTTACCTCCCAACAAATCCTTTTTAAGTTTTGGAAGTTTGGCTCCAGGCTCAGGATTTAATGGCTGGAATCCTGACACACGTCTTAAAGGAGCCGAGATTGGAAAACCCTGTTGTAACTGGGGGAAAAAAAAAATCACAATGGTTGTGGGTAGAGCTTCAACTGCACTGTGGTGTCCGCCATTGTGACTTTTTTGACCCAACTTGCACCTCCTCCCTGGGCAGGGGTCTTTCTCACCAGTCTCTGGTTTTCTGTTCTAGGGTAGTAAATATGTTTGGAACCGAAATGACATGTTGAAAGCCGCCAGGGACCCAAAAGTTCGCCGTCTGATGGGTAAAGGATTTCAAAATGCCTTTTTCCTCCCCTGTGTGTGCTTTTGTGTTTCTCTCTGTGTGTCTTTGTGTGTCTGTGTGTGCCATTGATTTCCCCCCCCCTCTAAATATAGTTGAATTTATAGCTATTAAACTCAGTTTGCATATTCTGGGGGAGCTGGTGACAAAGATTGGGTTGTTTTCGGGCTGCTCACTATTACAGTGTGTGTGTGTGTGTGTGTTTGTGTGTATGTGTTTGTGAAATGTTACACAGAAGAAAGGACTTCCCTGTCCAGCTCAAGAGGGATAGCTTTAGACAGCAGCATTCTGACATGCAGTTTAACCCCCATCTCAAAATTGCATGCTGAAAACAGTGTTGCATTTGTGTTTGCTGATGGAAGAATAAGAGAAGGGAATTAAAAATGCCCTCCCTCTTTCTAACTACCCTGTTTCCCCCAAAATACTTCCTACCCTGAAAGTAAGTCCTAGTTTGATTTTTACGCATGCACCCAATATGAGCTCTACCCCCAAAATAAGCCCTAATTAAGATCCCGCCCACCCCAGAGTGCATGGGTAAAAATTAAGCTAGGGTGGGGATGGAGAGGGGATGAAGCTACCCTACTGCTTACCTTTGGACAGTTGTAGCCAGGCCTCACACACCCTGACACCTGCCTTGCTAGTCCATTTTTCTGCAGTTGGCAAGGCTGGCAAGGCTTTCCTGAAGGCCTCTGGAGCTAAGAACAAAGCTCTGGATCGATCCAGAGCTCTGTTACCAGCTGCAGAGACCTTCAGGAAAGCCTTGCTGGCTTTAGAATTAATTCCTGAAGGCCTCTGACAGCAAAAAGGAGGCCATGGGTGACTCATACAAATGAGGTTAGTCAGTGGATGACTTCCCCCCAAAATAAGACCTGGTGCCTTTTTTTGGTGGCAAAAAAAATATATAAGACGGGGCCTTATTTTCAGGGAAACATGGGTAGTTTCCCCAAACTAAGATTTGAACTTTAAAATCAGCAAACTGGATGGATTTGGAGCCAACCCAAAAGCTAACGGAGATATTGCCAACACAGCTTTATATGTTGTGTGACTGCAGCCAGCATGTCTTTATCTGGTCGCGTTACACCTGTGAGGTGATTGAGTGGTTTGAACCCTGGACTCTCAACCTTGGCCTTCACTGGTGGTGTGAAGATCCACCCCACGTTTCTTGTTTTTTCTCAGGCCTCTTTGAACCTTCAGACATGAAATACGAGCTGTACCGAGACAACAGCACTGACCCGTCTCTGGCCGAGATGACCGAAGTGGCCATCCAACTCCTCAGTTCCAACCCAAAGGGCTTCTATCTCTTTGTTGAAGATAAGTCTTGGATCCCTACCATGATGGCCTTCTCAGTTCCCCAAGCGATCGAAGGAGGAACCGATAGCGGAGGAGGATTTGGGGGGGAGAACGAATAGCTTATTTTTACATCAGATGGGCTAACCAAGTCAGGGAAAGCTCTAAATCACCGTGTCAATCATACACACTGGGTAAAGAGTAGGAACGTCCAGTCCGATCGCCTTATAGCAAAATTCCATGCAGAAAATCCAACCAAGCCTAGGGGGGTTCGCAACCCTAAATTCTATATCTGCACTCAATTTGCTTTCGCTTTATATAGGTCACCTTCAAGAAGTGAGAGGAGCCGAATGTCAATTCATAAAACATTTCTATGCCTGTTTCAGTAGTTGCCATAAAAAAGGGGGGGAGGAAGGAAATCTGGAAGAGCAGTGTAGCAGTTTGAAAGCAAAAGTACATTCCAACTGTTATCTTTGAAAGATTGTAAATAAACTACCAGAGCTTTTGCCTGCAAATATATTTAATTGGAGAATATGATGGATGATACTCAGCCCGTGAAGGTGCTCAGTTGGAGAATCTAATTTATGACACACCCAGGGGGGAGGGGGAGAACAGGGCCACAGGGGACTGTGAATTATGTATGCCAGAGTTGGCTTCATACAGGGCAGTGCCAGTATGTTGCCTCTAATGAATCCTTTGAAGTTTTTTGAAGTTTGGCTCGAGAATCATGATTTAATTAGAGCGATTGCTGGAATCCTGACACAGTGTTTGTTAACCTAACTCTAAGATGGGTGGATCAACTCCCAGAATTCCCCAGCCAGCTGGGCTATATGAACTCTGGGAGTTGAAGTCCCCCTATCTGAAAAGTTGCACCTGCTCTTCCCATTTCACGAGGCAGAATTGACCACGGACACCACGATGGTATTGCGAAGCGAGCCCTGACGGAGGCGATCGAGTTCGACAAGGCCATCGAACGAGCTGGGGAGATCACGAGGGAAAAGGACACATTGACCGTCGTGACGGCCGACCATTCTCATGTCTTCAGCTTTGGAGGCTACACCCTCCGGGGATCCTCCATTTTCGGTAGAGCAAGGGATTCAGCCAAGGGGTGGGATTCAAAAATCCAAGTAACTGGTTCGCTGCACGGTTGCTGGGTGGGCGTGGCCATGGTGGGCGTGGCCTACCGGAACTTCCGGGACGACCGTTTTTCGCCTTCCCCAGAGTCCGGAGGCTTCCCTCAGGCTTCTGGGAGGGCGAAAATGGCCTCCCCCGGGCTCCGGAGGCCCTCCGGAAGCCGGAAATAGGCCCGTTTCCAGACTTCCGGAACTTTCAGGAGGGCCATTTTCCCCCTCCCAGAGCCTCCGCAGAGACCCTGAACTTACCTGCATCCAAAACGGGTGTCGTGGAGACTCCTGAAAGGGGTGAGGACGGGTGGGCAGGGCCAGCTAGTTGGTTCAACTACCGGTTTGGCGAACCAGATCTAAATATAACAACTGGCTTCTCCGAACCAGCCCGTACTAGCTGATTCCCACCCCTGGTTCAGCCTCAAGGCGGGTAGCTTTCGGTGAAGAGAATCTGAAGAGGTTGTTTGGCCCTCAAGGAGGTCATGAGACCTACAGCCCCCATGAGGAATCTATGGGTCAGGAAAGATGAGAATATGGGAGGGGAAACCATGAAAGATCTTGTAAAAGAGAACTGGGTGAGAACTCTTAATAATCTGAGGTGATGTTTCTCCATCTTGGCAATGTTTAGATGTGAGGACTTCAACTCCCAGAATTCCCCAGCCAGCCATGCTGGCTGGGGAATTCTGGGAGTTGAAGTCCACGTATATTAAGGTTGTTAATACTTGTCTACGGAGTTGTTCCAAGGTCCCTGGGCTGATCTAAGACATCTGGAAGGAGAAGAGACCACAAGACACCACCTCATACATCTCCTTCCCAGTTTCAGTTGCCTGTAGCCACCTTCTCCTAGGTCACCCTTGGAGATAACCCAGAGCTTGATGAATTTAGACTGTGATTCAAGATAACACACGTATTTTGAGGGTTATCTTCCCCGAGATAGAAGGTAGGGGGCCTCCTACTGTATTCAAAGTAGCCAGAAGTTTAATGCTTCACAATGGGCTTTGTTGTCCTAGAGGCAGACAGGCTGGAAAACATGGCTCAGAAGGTGTCCTTCTTCCTTCCAGGTTTAGCCCCCCAAAAAGGGACAGACGGCAAGCCATACACCTCCATCGTTTACGGCAATGGGCCAGGCTACCAGATCACTGACCAAGGCCGACCGAATGTGACCACAGAAGAAATTGGTAAGAGGGATAAAGAAGCCAAATTGGCTGGCTGGTTAAAAGCCCACAATGGACGGATGCAGTCAGACACACACCCCCACCCCACCCTCATACCCAGAATCCCCAGCTGCAATTCTGAACTGGAGCAAACTGCGTTTCTCATCCCTCTCCCAGCCAGATGGCGTTAATGGCTGGGAACGATGGGAGTTTAGTTTGCTCAAAAAACTCTCTGTGGGGGAAGGCAGCTTTTGAGTAAGAACGATAGAAGGAAGGAGCAGCGCCGGACAATATTAAAAACTCCCTGGATACCAAGTGTTTTTTAATCTTAGCAATTTTAAAATGTGTGGACTTCCACTCCCGGGATTCTCAAGCCAGCATGGAATTCTGGGAGTCGGAGTCCAAGCCGCTTAAAGTTGCCAAGATTGAAAAATATTGGACTACATGATCTGCAGGTGTCTGTGGAGATTCTCAGTCATCCAAGTCATGGTTTGTCTCAAAAGTTCTTTTTGCAACTGGAGTTTCTTGTTTTTCTTTGAAGGCGTTTCGCTTCTCACCCCCAAGAAGCTTCTTCAGCTCTTGACTGGATGGCGGGGAAGGGAAGGATTGATACTCCTTGCAGACAGCTGGTCATTTTCATCCTTTTTAGAGGGGCATTGAGGCCACTTGGAGGCTTATCTGCATCCTCAGAGTCACCTGAGGACACAAATGATCGGCTGTCTGCAAGGAGTATAAATCCTTCCATTTCCCACCGTCCTGCCAGAGCTGAAGAAGCTTCTTGGATGAGAAGTGAGACGTCTTCAAAGAAAAAACAAGAAAGCCCAGTTCATCTTCATTTAAACAACCCCATAATCCTTTGCAGGGTTGGAGTCTGGGCAACTGAATGAAGCTAGCAGAGTGTTTACTGGCCGGATGCCCTTCCTGTAGCCAATGCAGAGTTTTGTTCAGCTGATATACTCCCAGTGTGCCCAGAGAGAGAAATAGCTGCCTCTACCAAGGATCAAACTCACAGCCTCCTGATTGTGAGGTGATCTAGGCCATTGCACCACTCACAAGAAAGTCCAGTTGCCTCCTGAACTAAAGCACCTTTGGGAGAACCAGGATCCGGATGACAGAGAATCTCTACAGACTTTTAGCTATGCAGTTTGGGGTGGACACCCTTGGAATGGGGTGGGATTAGGAATGGATTTCCAGAGGAAAAAAATTGCAGGCCACAGGAACCATTTGCACCACTCAGTTGACCCTGAGGACACAGATAAACCTCCAAGTGGCCTCAACGACCCTCTAAAAGGATGCAAACAACCAGCTGTCTGCAAGGAGCATCAATCCTTCCATTCCACACTCCGTTGCAGCATTCTCATGTGATCATTTGGACCCTTGGCAGCTGGCTCATACTTATGACCATTTTCACGTTTATGACCATTGCAGCATCCCCGGGGTCTTCAGTCAGAGCTGAAGAAGCTTCTCGGATGAGAAGCGAAATGTCTTCAAAGAAAAAACAAGAAAGTCCAGTTGCCTCTTGAAAAAAAAGCACCTTGGGGACAACTATGTAGCTACTACTCCCTTTTCCCAGGAATATTTTCCCTAGACCAGAGGTGGGCTAAGCTTTTTGGGCTCCTGTGCGAAAAATTGTGCGCACGCTTACACGCTCATGCTCTCGTGCCAGCACCCAGAAGGCAATGCACGCCCCCCCACACCCCCTACGCATACGCACGCAATCCCCACCCCCCTCCATCCTCTTACCTGCACTGCACCTCATAGCTGATTTTCGGGGGGTTTGAGGACTTTTTTGGCCTCCCAGAGGCTTGAGGAAGGCTTCTGCAGGCTTCTGCAGGCTGAAAACTAGGCCCGTTTCATCACTTCCGGTATTTTCAGAAAAACAGGAAGTGACTAAACGGGGCTAGATTTCGGCCTACAAAGCTTGTAGAAGCCTGCAGAAGCCTTCCTCAAGCCTTTGGGAAGCCAAAAAGGCGTCAAAATCAGCACACATGCACAGTGAGGTAAATTTGCCTGCAACTCATGTGGTGGCACAAATGCGTCTTCATGCTACCTGTGGCACACATGTGATAGGTTCGCCATCACGGCCCTAGACTTCCACATCTAGTTTATATCCTGGGATCTCCTTGTGGTCTCCTTTCTGATCAATAATCAGGGCAGACCCTGCTTTGCTTGGAAAACAAGGGGTGTCTGGATGCTGCCAGAGGTGGAATTAAACTTGGAAGGGAAAAACACTTCAGTCACTGGTTTAGGTAGGGGTGTTTGCAGGGTGAGGTCAGAAAAGTCAATATGGCAACCATGATGGTGTAATCATCAAAGCTCTGCTTGCTGTTTACAGTTAGTCCTTCTGTAAATTCCTGTCGCTGAGCGAGGCAGTTGTTAAGTGACTTTTGGCCCATTTAAGCAGATCAATGGCGTTATTAAGTGAGGACCACAGTTGTTAAGTGAGCCTGACTTCCCCATTGACTGTGCTTGTCAGAAGGTCTCCAAAGGTGACCCCATAATTCCAAGACATAAATAGGAGTCGGTTGAGTCTGAATTTTGATCAGGGGACCATAGGGAACGCTGCCATGGTTGTGGGAAAATGGTCATAAGTGTGAACCAGTTGCCAATCGTCCAAACGTTGATCGCACGAGGACGCTGCAACGGTCATAAGTCTGAAAAACGGGCCTAAGTCACTGTTTTCAGTGCCGTTGTGACTTCGAACGGTTATTAAACGACCTGTTGTAAGCTGAGGACTCTAACTACAGGTCTGGCTATGGCACTCCTATGGTCCCTAGCCCTCCTCTGAGCGAGCAACGAAGAGGCCATCATGCAGCGGTTCGACCCAGGCGCCCCAGTGAATCAAGGGTGCCGAGTTCGGGTCACCGTCTTTTTTTTCTTAAGCATCTTCCTTTTCCAAAATAGGGACGCTCAGTGGCTCGGCGGCTAAGACGCCGAGCTTGTCGATCAGAAAGGTCGGCAGTTCAGCGGTTCGAATCCCTAGCGCTGTGTCACGGAGTGAGCTTCCGTTCCTTGGCCCAACCTAGCAGTTCGAACGCAGGTCAAAAGAAACGCAAGTAGAAAAATAGGGACCCCTTTGGTGGGAAGGGAACAGCGTTCCGGGCACCTTCAAAGGCATTTAGTCCTGCCGGCCACATGACCACGGAGACGTCTTTGGACAGCGCTGGCTCTTCTTCGGCTTTGGTGATGGAGATGAGCAGCGCCCCCTAGAGCCGGAAATGACTAGCACGGATATGGGAGGGGCACCTTTACCTTTTACCTTTCCCAAAAGATCCCTCCTACCCATCTAACCTCCGGTCTTCTCTCCCCAGAGGACAACGATTATCACCAGCAGGCCGCCGTGCCACTTTCGTCAGAGACCCATGGAGGGGAGGACGTGGCCATCATGGCCAAGGGACCTATGGCCCACCTTTTCCACGGGGTGCAGGAACAATCCTACGTCGCCCACGTCATGGCCTACGCCGGCTGCTTGGAGCCCTACCAGACGTGCAATTTGCCCAATGTGCCATTTAAGTCTGCAGCTGCCCCCAAGGCCGGCCTCGCGGGACTCCTCCTCACTCCCTTGCTCCTCTGGATCTGCTAGTCCTTCCCCTGGGGCATTCTGGGTAAATCTGGCTCTTCCTCCTCCTCCTCCTCACATCTGGAACGGAGCCGCCCTCTCAGTATCTTCTCCTAGGGGTGGGTGGGTTTCTAAATCATGGGGTTTTTTTTTTACCACCTTGGTGGACTTCAACTCCCAGAATTCCCCATGCCTGGACTCTGGCAGGCTTTCCAAGCTTCTACACCAGGGGTCCCCAAACCTGGCCACTTTTAAGACTGGTGGACTTCAACTCCCAGAATTCTGGGAGTTGAAGTCCGCCAGTCTTAAAAGTGGCCAAGTTTGGAGACCTCTGTTCTGCACTGTTTGCGAGTTCCTTTCCAAGTAAATTAAGATTTCGGGGTTTCCAGATTCGTGGCAGGTTTAGCTTGCAAAGTGAAGGTTAAGAGGACACACACACGAGATTCTTCCTCCTCCTCCTCCTCCGATGGGGCCATGGCCCTACCTATCTTTTTGATACCTGCAACTACCTGGATGATCA